CGCAGTGTCCTGCTTCTCTCTCACACGCTCTCTCTCTCTCTCTCTCTCCTATCTTTATATCCCTCTTTTTCGGCCGGTTCCGTTTTCTCTCGGCGCAGGACAAACTTATCTCATTTCCAGGAGGAGGGGGCAGGGACGCGGAGGTTTGCTAAGTATATACATATCTAATGATTTTTGTGTCTCTTGCCTCCCACCCCACCCCCTGCCCTAGTCTCCCACCACGTCTTTCCCAAAAAATACTAAAAAAGTTTGAGCGTAGTGACCCTCCATGAACACAACCCAACGAGAGTCTACAAACAAATGTGCAAGTAATTATCAACGGAATCAAAATCAAAGTTCGTTTTGGTGCCCAACCGTGATTGTTCCGTGAATAAAAACATAAATAACGTGAAAGAAGAGAATTCAACTGTCTTCGGTTTTATTGTTGTTGTTGTCTAATAGCGAATCAGGCATGAATAACAACATGCCATATTTAAATAAAATGTCAAACTACGTGCCCCCACCCCCTTCCCTCTTTTGTTACCCTCTGTCGTGTGTTTGTAGTCGCAGACATATAACTCCCATGAGCTTGCGCATAAATTTTTCATTCGCACTGCTGTGGCACGTAGAGATGCAGATGGCGTCGCTGTTTGGCGTGGCGTGGCGGGGCGTAGCCGCGTAGCGCGGGGCTCTGCACTCCGCCGGTACTCGTTGCTGACAGCAGGTGCCGAGGCAGTGAAGGGTAATGGATGCTCTCGGTCAGTGTGTGTGTGAGGGAGAGGGAGGGAGGGAGATAGAGAGAGAGGGAGAGAGAGTGTGGGTGGCCGGGTCAAGCCTTCCGTGATGGTGGTTGCTCAGGGGAGAAGGGAGGGGGGTGTCGCTCTTGACCCACTTTGCGCCGCAGATTTTGTCGGTGTGGGGGCGACCGTGATTTTTACAGTGCTTGTTTTTGTTAGTGCTGCTGCTGCCGTTGGGGCTGGCGCGGCAGGCCGCGGCAGCTGGCGCGCTGCATTCAAGTGCGTGAATGCATTAATGTATGAAAGTAGCCCAGAGGGTTTACCGCGACCGTGGCCGGCCGGAATGTTTTATCGGTACATATTTGCGCGGCAGCGGGCTGCTGGGCCGCTCTGCTCCCGGCCCCGGCGCGGTCGATTTCCTGAGTGGGGCGCACTCCCATCAGGACCAGCACGAGTGCAGAGTAGTTCTGTTTGTTTTGGTGCCCCGAGGGCGAAAATCTGGAATAATAAAAATAATGGCAAATTTAACTCTGCGAGACCGTTGGACCGAAAGAGGGTGAAACATCAACATTTTTCTTTGTACTCATTTGGGGCATGGATGAGATGGCACTGTACAGGCTGCCATTCTAATCGGAAACGATTTTTAAATATAAAATGATTAAGTAATGCAGTTAGGACTGAGATTTGTTTTCTGGACATTTCCTCTCTTTACGACTTTGAGATGATTTTGACCCAGAATCTTTCACGTCAGTTGGGCAACAGTACCCGCCCGTCTCGTCACATATACATATCCTAGTTTATCAGCATCCGCACCCGCGCCCTGTTCTTTTATCGCGTTCGACACTATAAAATGTTTGATTTACGGGATCCTTGTGACGGTTGTTGAAAAGTACTCGATGTTGACTTATCTTTTGTGGCGGCCGTCGTGTATCGTAAACTGGGCGTGCGTGGCGCGTCGATGCTGGGATGCTGGGGGCCGCGGTGGTTGGGCCGAGGACGAAGCTGGGGCTGGGGGCACCATCTCCGCGCCCAACTCCACTACCCCTCTCGAGCAGGCAGGCGGCTTCATCCCGGCTTCGGCCCCTTGTGCCGATGAATACAGACTTACTTAAAACTAGAAGATATCTCCGCCTGAACAAACAGAGGCTTCGTCGGTCCCCCGGGAGCAAGGCGCCGCGCCCCCTGCCCCGAGCCCCTGGCCTTACAGCCCGCCCCTGCCGGGGTCTGTCGCTCCGCGGCGGCCTCGGTGGCGGCGGCGGCCGGGGACATCCAGCAAAGGCTTTAAAATCTCCTCGGATTAATTTCCATCGTGGAAGGCACACACCGTTAGGTTTACTCTGGGAGGGGAGCGGAGCGCGGCCCCGACGTGGCCCCTGCTCCGCGACCCCGCGCGCCCCTCGGCGACGAAGACACGCAAAGACGGGCGACGATTAGTCCAAAAGGACCCCACGCCATACCATCGCGTCTGTCGCGCTCCTCGTCGCACTCGCGGGCATACAGCCATGGCGCGGCCGCAGCGGGGAAGGAAAGGGAATTAGAGGGGGAGGGGAGGGGGGCCCATATGGTCCACATAAACATGTCACTCAGCGCAGCGCCGTTCGAGAGGCGCGTCGCGTCGTCTTCGCGGCGACGGGGACGGGCTATGGGTCCTGGCCCCCTTCCTCCTCGTCCCCCCTTCCCCCTTCCCTAAGTCCTCGCCCGCACTCCACAGAATAATTTTAAACATATCCAAATAGAGTGGGGCGCCATGTGTGCGTGGACCGCACAGTTCGACCATGGAAAGGACGGTTCTGGCTCGACGAGACAAAAAGGAAAAAATGTGTTCTCAATAATGTTGGTATTCAGGAGATTGATTGTTAGGAATTTACAACAAATCCCATTGCATTGTCTAGGTACCTAGTTTCACTTGAATACTGAAATTTGCTCAACAAAACACTTTCTTGGATTTGTTGGATTGCACACACTGCTGAAAATGCACTCTGAAATTCAGAGTGCAAAGTTCTGAGTTCTGAGTGCACACTCTGAATAAATTCCTGAGTGATTTTACACTAACAAATTTCGCGGATCTGAGAGTGTGAGATTGAGAGTGAGTCTACACTCAAAAACAAAATATGAGTGCAGGGTGCTGAGAGTGCACTCACAAGGGCACTCAGAAATCGTCGGAAAAGTTCTGAGTGTTGAGCGCGCACTCTGGATCGGATTGAGAGTGGCCGCCGACTAGCTGGTGTAGAATTCGCATTCCTGGCGGATTGTCGATGCTGAATGCCCATAAAAGGGGGTGATAGCGCCTGCAGACTTGTGGGTAGGCAAACTGTCTAACGCCACGTAGAAGGGGTTGCCTACTCACCAGGGGCTCAGAACCCGTGTTTCCGGATCGGTCGGGGTCCCAGTCTTAAGCCAAGCCCGACGAATCGGCGTGCGAATCGGACAGCGTCTCCCGTCTCCCTCGCACAGCAGTCAGCGGAGCGGCCAGCTCGTCGTGTAGCGACGAGTCCTCTCGCAAGCCGGCGGGTTGTCAAAAGACATCAACCCCACCGATCCGTAAACACTGCTCGGGAACCGATTCTGTCAAGCTGCGCCACATTCATCCTGAACAAATGAGTCTGGTGATCGTTTTCTGTACAGTTAATGATTGAAAATAGTTTGAAATAAAATCACATTTTAAATGAACTGCACTTGTATTGATACTACAAGAATAAAAAAAAAAATCCAGCTTGGTCTTATTTGGTATATAAAAAGAAACAAAAAATATGAATATTCCTTCATAATGTTTTTAAGAGGGATTAATTTAATCAGCAGGTTTGCGTTTGACCTGCAACAAAAAAAGAGTACAAATCAAGTGAAGAAGAATAAAATTTACAACAGCATGATCAACATCATTGAGAAGTAAGTAATACCTTCTGATCGTCTTGGTTCAGCTTGTTACCGATAACAGTTTTCTGTGATTTCAGGAGTGATTCCATACTTGCATTTTCCTCCATATTCTGCATATGCTTTAGACAGAATTTCACAGATCCTATGGATACAACAAACAGTAATTAGTTCATTTAAAATCACTTTTTTTTTTTCAATGTGTAATGGCAACTACAGCCACAATCCCTGTACTACAGGTTGGCTGCTAATTTAATACAACTGTGTATTTAAAAATGCAGAAAACTCACCTAAAATAAAGTTGATTTTGGATGGCGTTGCTGCTTGCTTGGGAGTGCTGTCTTTGAATCTATTACTACTTCTTCCGAGCAATGACCTCTGCCTCCGCTCCAAGGCAGTCCACGTAAGAGTGGTCAACTGCCTAGTCATCACACTTAGATCTGAAGTAGCATTCTTACTAATATTTTCTAAGAAGCCCTCCCCATCAACTTTGATGCCACATATCTCAAACTGTAAAATAAAACAAAAATGTATTAACATCCGTTGGTTGTTTGTTCAACATAATACCCTTAAAAAAATATGCAACTTGTTTCAAGATGAATTAGTCTTTTATATAAATCAAGATTATTTACCATTCCTTTAGAATCACAAGGTAGCTTTTCACCCTTCTGAAAAGCTTCCAGGTGCTCACTCAAAGCAGTAGCGACTGCATCAATTTCTTTGTCTTTCATTAGACTGACTGGAAAAAAATAAATACACATTTGTACTGAACATATTGTGGCAATCAATTTTTTGAAATATATATATAGAGAATATAAATTTGTAATGTTTACCTCTCTTATTTTTCTTCTTCCCAGAGTCTTCTTTTTCCTCCTTTGAATCAGATAGTTTTATTTTGTTCTCAGAGTTCTTTTGCCCCGCTGACTCATCCGTTACTATTTTTTTTGCAGTTGGAGTAGAGGAGTCTCCCACCAGAAGGTCAGAGGAGAAGTCTCCTTTGGAGGGAGTTTTCATACCAGAAGATCCTGCATCAGCAAGAGCAACCCAAAACATCAAAGACAAGGCTCACTGGAAAACTTGAAATACAGATACTTATGTAAGATCTTACCAAAATTAAGGAACTTTTTTGCTTTAACACCTGTCTCCTTTCCGTTATCATCCGTCTTCATGTCTGCACCTGGAGACCAATAAACAGATTTCTAAGATAGAGGTCGCTTAACATATGATAATGACAGGGACTGCAGAGACAAAATGTCTCCACATACAAAAAGCTATAGATTAGATTGTAACACACCTGACATGTCTCCAATCAGGAGGCTCTTAATTTGCCTGAGAGAGCTGTTTAGACTCTCCACCTTGTCTTTCAGTTCAAGGTTTTCTTGATACAACCTAAGCCTTTCCTTGTCGACAACTCGTAAGCTTGCCCTGGAGAGCTGATATTGCTGCTCCAGGTGAGTATATAGTTTGTGAAGTCTGTCAAACTTTCTCTGCAGCTGCTGTTTGGCCTTGCTCAATTTTATGGAAACATCTTCCTCAGAGTCTGAGGAAGGGATCTCAGAAAGAAGCTAAAAAAAAAAAAAGTATATTAATTTGATAATCTCTCTCATTTACTTATGCATTTTGTGAATAATTTTATCACACTCCTATAAAAACAGCTGATAGGGAACTCACCTGAGAAAACGTCAGTGAAACTTCCTTACATCTTTCTTCATCATCTGAAAATTGATTTTCTGAGCTACCACTTGCTGAGCGTCGTCGAGATTGAAGAACAAATGAATTACTTTTCTTTGAGGGACTGTTTGGCTGTGAAACTGGGGATGACTTAGCTGGCAAATCCTAGAAACAAGAAACAAATGACAATGGTTAGGTACACAAAAGAGAGTAGAAAAACATATAATAATTTCAACATATCACACTCTTGTAAAAAGATGACAAAGACTGACCTGTGAATCATAGCCATTATTCCCTTCAGCATACGAACGATGAGAGCTTAATTTTGAAGGACTAAATTTAGCATTACCACTTTGATCTTTTTTGAAAATGCTTGGAAATGTCAATGGAGATGACTTATGATCGGACGATTCCTAGTAATAGTGGAGAAAGAATGTATAAGTTAAAGTAGACTGACAAAATGAAAATTTAAAATTTAAAAGAATGAGTTTAGATTCTTCAATGCATACCACGTCTGATAAGGGCATTGTAGTGTCAAAATCGTCAGTGTCACTATGTTTATCCTGCTTGACATTTTTGTTTGCTGTATCCAGGGTCACTTTCTCACTCTCCATTGGTTTACTCTTTTCCGAAGCTGTTTGCTACAAAATAAAATGCAAATGTTAAATTAGTACTAAAACTTAAAATTTATAAGCAGCAATAGCTGAAAACTGAAATGTGAAGGTAAATTTTAAAGGCAGAAAGTGACATAACACTAAGTAATAAAGTATTGAGATAGCCATGTGTTTCACAAAACAGTTCACACTTGTTAGCGTTTGTCATACTGGACATTTGAATACTAAAAAGTGTTTAGCAAAACAAAGTTGAGCACATAGTTGTGTTCAGCTTCAAGGTTGACTATGAAGCATTGAACACTTGTGTTCAAAGTTACTGATGGAACACTTGGAAGTATTCAAATTTCCAGTTCAACACCTCAGAGTGCGCACCATACATTTGAACAGTACCATCTGCATGCCAGCTAAGTGGTACACTTTTGTTTACAGTGAACTATCTGACTAGAAGAACAGTATCAGATAACCAGCACTGAATATAAAAACAAGCTTTAAAACAGATTTCTCTACATACTGGGAGATTCTTCTTGGCATTATCAAGAGCTTTTTCCATCCTTTGTAATAAAACAGGATCTTTAGCAAACGGATTTGGCTTAGGTTTTTTTACGTGTGGCTGAGATTTTGACTGAAAAGAAAAAACAAGATAGCTAAAAAATTTAAGGTAAGAGAATAGCAATATCGCAACCCAATCAACTTACAGTATCACTTTCCTCCGCAATTTTAACTTTCTTCTTGGGGACAGTTGCTCCTAAATTATTCTCAACCTTTCGCTTCTTTGATTGCACTTGGCATTTCTCGTCATCATCACTATGAGTCTTGACCTTCAAAGACTTGTTTGCGCTTGACCTACTCCTCCGGCTTCTGGAGCTGCCTTCTCCACTTTCAGCTGTAACACTCTTCTTTCCATGGCGTCTCGTTGAGCCACTGTCGCTCTCTGCTGGAGATGAGAAGGACAGCATTGGTTCACCGACAAACTTCACACCCATCTCCCTCGCTTTGGCACAAGCATCCTGCAAACTCCCTGTAACAAAATATTGAATAATGACAAAACCAATACAGTGGTTATCAAAATGGTTTGCTTTTGAAAGGAAAGGAATAGTCTTGTAAACCATTCAAAATATAACGTCACTGCAACTCTAAGAGCTACCCTAAGCCAGAATAAAATTAACTTAGAACAGCCAAGGTGAGGGTTAGGGTAGTAACAACAAGGAACAGTAGTGAAAGAAAACTAATTTGTGAGAAAAGGGAAATTTCGAACTATTCAGCCATTGGGAGCAAGCGGTTCCCGACATGAGCCAGCAAGGTTATAGTGAACTTGCTCCACCAACTAAATCTCAGGCATACGATTACAAAACGTCTTACCTGCGAGGCACATAATTGATGCTGGATAGAATCCATCGTCATCTAAACCACTTTTCTGCCACTTTGCTTCATAGGCGTTTTCTCGAGCGTCGAAATCAGTAGCGGCTCTAGGTTCCGGAGCTCTCCCCGTTTTCTTGTCGCGAATATTCTTCAACTTGACTACCTTCTTCACATTTGAGCCATCGCCAAACTGTACTACAGCGTAATTCATCTTGATCAGTACATGAAATCCAATCAGTGAGGCAATAAAGGCAGGGAGGATGTTGAAACACGAAGCTCGGGGGCGTAACGGTCATCGACTCGAGAGGCTTGAGTGGTGTGGTGAACCAACCGTCAGTTGCGCAGAGCGTGCTGCGCACAAAAGTGCGTGGCGCGCATGCGCATACGCTGCCAAACGAATTGAAATAGATGAAATACAGTGAAATCGGTTGAAATCAAAGTTGTTGACTCGTCTTAATTACATTTCCAAGTTAAAATTTCTGATCACACAAACAAAACGTACGTGTTTGACTGACGAGAATTATTGTATCCTACACCTGAGCCAAGGCTCATCGAGGATTTTCTGGCGGGAAAGAAGGGCTAGAGTGTAGACGACGTAATGTACTAATATTAATGATTTCGGAGGTAAAAGTCCGACTTTCGTAAGAAATTTCGACAGGATAATGCACTCTGAATCATAATCTTCCGAATCAGAACCAGCCAAACGCCACGTCGCCCCTTGATTAGAGAGAAACTGCAAAACTAAAATAGGACCGGATCAGCGAAGGAGGGCTGGGTGTATCTGAGCTATCTACCACGCCGTCATCGGTGAAATGACAAAATGTCATTTCTTTTATTTTAAGGTAACAGTTTAACGGATCCCCTTCAAAGTTTGTAAAACGTTTCAGGGCAGTAAAAGAAGGTTCTGTACAAAATTTGGGCGTAAATTTCTCGCCTAGAGCCAGGAAATAAACTCTCACAATTTTAGGGGGAGCGTTCATAAGCAGGTGGCGAGGACCCTGCTGGCCGCGCCCCTCGAGTGCACCGTCGTCATGGGCGACAAGCAGCCCGACGCGACGACGACCGTGTCCAGGTCGAGGACCTGGGCCGCCGTCCAGCAGCAAGTGGCGAGGACGCTGGCCGCGCCCCTCAAGTACACCTTCGTCATGGGCGGCAAGCAGCCCGACGCGACGACGACCGTGTCCAGGTCGAGGACCTGGCTGCCCGCACGGCCGCCGCCGTCCAGCAGCAGGTCATGTGGACGCTGGGCGCGCCCCTCGAGAGCACCGTTGTCATGGGCGACCTCGCCCAGGCCAAGGACAGCTCTTCGCGGCCTCTGTCGGAGTTATTGTGGCGTGGAGGTCTTCCAGTGCACGATGCACATTGGCCCGGGGCCTCTGATAGTGTAATATGGGAGAGCCACGTATCTTTGGATTGTTTAAGTTTTGGGGCGGTCTTTAGCCCTTTTAAGAGCTACTTCAGTTCCTTGCTTAGTGTTGCCCTGCCACATATGGCGTGTGTGTGTGTGCATGTGTGTGTCTTTAAGTCTCCTTTCACTTTTGAACGTTGTATGAAAACTTTCTATTGTATTGCAAAGGGGTTCAGATGCTGAGTTAATAAAACTGTCTTACTTCCTTATAATTTATTGTTTTAAGATTATCCTTAATCTATGTGCCTCATTCTTCAAAGCAAGGACACAACTGAAAAACATAAATTGATTTTACTCAAGTTAACACTGACTTAGACCTCTAAATAGAGGTATTGACTGGTTTGGTGTACCATAATACATTTAGCTATTCAGTCTCATTACTTAAATATTTACAATACGCATTTGAAGTATGATTACAAAGTCTTCAAAAATATGAGAATCTGATACCTTAGAATATATTGTAACAGTTAGGCATAGGTGATACGAAGTGCCCATGGTTTAAATTCAAGTTAACAAACACACCGTTGAGAGATGATGCGGTTTCAAATATTACATCAGAATCAATACTTGCAACTTGCAAGAGGTGGTGACAGTTTAAGCTAATATTATTGAGTGTTCCTGGATATTTGTATGGGGTGCACCTCACTACTGATCCAACTACCCATACTTTTTCCCTTTCTTCATCAAGAAAGAGCTTTCTAATATTTATGACTTTCTTAGTAGTAATTAACCATGCTATAGAGTTGTCAGTCTTTGATTTTTTGGCATAATTTGATGTGGAGTATGTCCACCCTTCAAACTGGATTTTATTGTAGCACACACAATTCTCCGGATTTATATTCAATTGCTCACAGTAAAATTTTTCTTCCTCATTGAGATTTGTCAATTTTTTAGATGTACCAATTAGTTTGATTTTGCCTACCATATGGCTTCTGAAGCGGGAACTAGACAAACTCTTTTCAAACGTTTCACAGTTTTGGGACTTTAATGAATTTTTTAAGAAGTTCATTGCATGATCTTGAGAAATAGATCTACAAATTTGATTGGGAATTCCCTTATTAGCTGAAATTACATGTTTCAGTTTCTGTATGCCATGTTCAAAAGCAAATGCAGAAATCGCAAACAGAGGACCCCACCTTTTGGCATTCTGAACAGAATGCAGTAAAAGATGTACATTATATCGCATCATTTTAAAGCCATACAAATACTGCACTCTACCAACAAATTCAATCAAAAGATTTTCAGCTGTGAAAATCATACTAGAAGTGATGTTATCTTTCAACAGAAGATGCATTGCTTGTACAAGGTAGGCCCAATTTCGTAAGTACTCCTCAGGCAACTTATCAATTAAAAGACAAACACTTAAAAATAGACCCCAATTCTCCCATTCTCTCCCTGTAAAATAAGACAGAGCATCCAAGCCCCTAACTGCTTTTCGAAACTCTAGAGGTGGTTTTACTTTTTTCAAGAGACTAGATAATTTTTCATATTTCTCAGTTTCTGTTCCAATGTAAGTACTATCATCCAGCCACTCTTTGAGGAAAGTCTTGAATGAGCCTTCACAAACTGTGTGCATATAGTCAAAGACCATTCCGTCTACTATTCGGAAATGGGTAGCAGATGCCAAGTGGGATGGAAACCTGCAGCCGTTGATAATAATTTTCTGATTCATAGAATCAGTCCAGTCATTTACCATTTGGACCTCATTTCTGAGTTCTGGGAAAGGAAACAGAAATGCAAATCTTCTTGCATTGCCCCACTCTTCACCAGGATGAAGGCACCAGTTGCAACTGCATTCTCCTCTATGAGAGTTAATACCTTGCACCTCTCCTCGAGCACCAGAGTCTATACAGCAGCTGATTAAAAATCCCTTGAATAACTCCTTACCATTTCCTATATCCAAAAAAAAGCCAGGCTCTGACAAAGAATTAATGTGCTTAACTACAGGCCCTAGAAAGACATCCATTTTAGCTTTTTTAGTACCAAACCACAAACCACAAACAATCAAGTTGTCCATCCTTGTTACAATTGGTAATTCATTAATCATAAGAAAACATGGCCAAATTGAGCATGCACTGGATTTGAAAAGGGGAGATCCATCAGTGCAAAGAGTAAAAGAAATGTACCGACAGTTCCCTGGTTCAAGCAAATTAATAAAGGCTTGATAGGCCGAACCATCATGGAGATCACTTAATATTTCAATATTGTTATTTTTTAAATTAAAAGGGTTCTTTAGCTGCTTCCTAACATTGTCATTTTTTAACAAAAACTCTAACTGATATGGGACATCCAAAATTACAAAGTATCCTTCTTTTTTTAACTCAGTCTTATCATTCTCGAGTTTGCATTGCTCAACAGGGCATATCACTGGATCTGGACTATCAAAGTCAACATCAGGAAGTGCTGTAAAACACTTCTCGCAAAAGTAAAAGCGGTGCATGCCCTCTGAAGAAAAAAGTAATTCATCTAGAAGATAGCGAGAATCCCCAAGAACTTTCTGGTCAAACATAGAGTTTATGAGCTTCAACACATTTGATTTTTCAGTATGGTTCCAATTATGGTGTCTACTAAGTTCTAAGGCATTTAAAAGAATTTCCCCATACTTTGCTGTAACAGTCTCTTGAATACGATGTTTCAATTTTCCATCCATTTCTTGTCTCATACGTTGAAATGGAACCTGGAAAAGAGATAATTGGCAGATATAAAATAACGCTTATTGAACTTCAAATGACACTATTCTGAAGCCAAAATGTTAAAAGTATGCCTTACTTCGCCTGGTGGAATCTCTGCTCTCTGATTGAGCAGGTCCTGATTTTCAGCTTCATGATCACTGTCTGGTTCCAAAGCTAAATCCAAAGCATTGTGATTATCTTGGTTATTTAAATCATTTTCATTGAAAGATGTATCATCTGCCTACAACAGAAACAAAAGTTGTAAAGGATTTTGCAAAACCTGAATTGACATAGAGGAACAGAAAGAAAAAGAAATGTACATACTGTTGAGGCACTGGAGTTTCTAGAGGATGTAGGGCTTTCTTCAAGAAAATTTGAAACAGAAGGTGTTGGAGACAAGTCAACCCGTTCTTCATTGTGAATTATAACCTGTGAAAACAAATTAAAGGAATGAGAATCATGCTAAAAGGAGAGTGTATTGTTTATGCAAACATTATTCTGCTTTACCTGGTCTCCATCACAGGAGTCAGGAGTAGAAGGTCCGTCTCTGTCACAGTTTAACGCCTCTTCATCCCCAGTCATACTATTCTCCTCTGGTTCGCACACGGCAAGACATGGCTCATGAATATCATCTTGAGGCTATTAAA